GGGCTTGTAGCGCTCACAGGTGTGGCGTGTCTTTCAAGTTGCCAGCGCTGAGATCCGAACTGTTTGGCCGGCCACGTGGCTCTGACTCCCTTAACAGCATGCCACAGGGCCAGCCGAATGTCCCATATTTAAAACGTGGGGCTAAATAACCCTAGCCATGAACGCAGAAATCAACGGTAGTGCTCCTGTGTTGGCTCTGCACTGTGCCTTCAGGCTGTCACAGTGGGGTGTGTTTAAGGAGCCAGCTCCAAGTTCTGGAGAGAAGACAGCTCTGGGAGATGTGAAGGGTGGCGGCAGGCGGGGGTGCAGAGCGGTTTGAGCCGTTTGAGCCGCAGTGGGGCGGACCCACCTGCTTTCCTCCGCATTGTGCAGCCCGCAGACCCCAGCCCATCTCCCGCTGCCTCCCTCGCCCAGGGCAGTCTTGCTGAACACTCTCCAGTCCAGTGTCTTGAGCCCGAGGGTAACCCAGAAAAGAGGTCACTCTGGCTTGAGGAACTAGGGACCAGGACGCAAGGTGGCGAAGCAGAATTTGGATGGGAACTCGGAGGCCACGCTGAGCGCGCCAAGCACACGCCCCCGACACTGTCCCTCAGCTCAGCCGGCTCGCCGTCCCCACAGCGGGCGACGCAGGCAGATGCCAGCTCAGGGAGGACTGGCCCAAGCCAAGCACTGGGAAAGGGTGGGGCTCTGACGCCCACGGTGACAGCGAGGCTGCACGGAGGGGAGCACGAGGACCCGTCCAGGTACCGTCTCTGGCTCCTGGCTTTGTGTCCCTGCTGGAAGCGGCATGCTGGCAGCTTTGTAGGACCAGCTACTCCACCCTCAAGGACCTTCGCATTTGCAGAATGAAGGGGAGAAGATGAAGACCTAGCCAGTCCTGACTCCAAGCCCAGTGGGCACTGCCGGGAACACACCTGGACAGCCATTGCCTCTGCCTTGTGGCACTCCCCGAGGTCACTGGTGTCCCGGCCCATCACTGCTGGAAGCTGAGCACAGGGAGCTTAGGCAACTGCTCAAGGTTACGGAGCCAGGACTCAGGCTAGTGCCACCCCAGTATCCACAAATTCCTGCCCTCTGGGGCAAACCAGCTCCTCCTTCCTCAGCCTGCTTCAGCGCATGGCCCTTTCCAGCACCTGGGAGGACCCGAACAGGCTTCACCTACAACCGAGTTCGTAAGAATGCCTGTGGTTGTTGGGAATGTTGGAAAAATAGCAAGGTGATGCACAACGCAGTGCCTGGAGACCACGGGAGGGCAGTTACTAGTCAGTGCCACTGCCCCTGGCACCCCGGCCCACGGCCTGCCTACGAACGACCATGCCCTGGCTCCCCTCTCTCTGGCAATACCAACAACTTCCGAGCTGGCCACCTGCCTCAGGCCTAGTTTCCATCCAGTTTAAATCCAATAACTGCTATAAAAATGTCACTCAGATTCTTTGGAGTCACAAGGTCACCTCGGTCACAGACACTGGATCTCAACTTCTTGTCATGGGGTACAAGAAACTCGCCTCCATCGGCCTTTCTAGCCTGACACAGCACTGCCGACGCCTCCACCGCAGACTTGTTGGACAGGGCCACAGGGTTTCTATCTAGTTGCTCTCGATACAAAGTTTCCAGTGAACTACTTTCTACCTGCGTCTAAGCTAGCACTTACAGAACGGTACTGTGGGACTACACCGCTGCTTCCAAACTAGCCGCTACTGTCCTTTAGAAAGCCTGGTCTGACTTGTTCAGACCCCTTTAGCGCCTAACATAGTGTCACAAACAGCAAGAACTTGACAAACATGAATTCTTCAATACTAACTTTGATAGAAAATATCCCAGTATACCTTTAAGAACCCTTCCCACAGCTAAGGCTCTGAGAAATAAACAGGCATGTTTACAAGACCCTTTCTCTATTCTTTTTTTTTCTTTTTTTTAGAAGTTTTTGCTGTGGGGCACGTGCACTCACCAGAGAGACAGAAAGCAAGAAATCGCCTCCCAGGGGGGATGGCCATGCCGCAATCCCTTCTCCTCCATTCTCCTCTCGGGATCTTGGGCACTCCTGCACACACGCTCTGCATGAGTTTAAGTCACCGGGTCCGGGACTCGAACCGTGGTCGAATACATGGGAGTCCAGCGACATAGCCATTATGCTGCCTGCTGGTCCCCCTTTCTCTATTCTATAACAAGCTCTCAAGGTACCAAGAGAAATGCTGCAGAAATACCTAAAGACCTTACCAAAATTTTTATATTAAACCCCAAAAACTTCAGTAGTAAAATCTGGGATGTTTGGCCCAGCCACGGTGGCATGGTCAGCAGAGTGCCGGTGCGTAAGTCTGGAGCCACGCAGGAGACCAGGTCGGCCTGGACGCCGGCACACCCAGGAGCACCTGCAAGCCTGGCTGAGGGGGCTGCAGGGAGGACCACACTTTTGTGTCTCTTGCACAAAAAGAAATAAACAAAACAAGAAGACTGGGGGCTAGCCACAATGGCGCCTGGCAGTGTTCCAGGATGCTGAGGCCACATGTGAAGGCCTGAGTTCACACACAAGGACTCCTACACACTGGCTGAATGCACACACCTGTGACCGTGGATGGCAGACGCTGGGTGTGGGTGACAGTGCTGGAAGTCTCTCTCCCTCTCTCATGGAAGGTAAAAAACAAAACAAAATTGGGGGTATTTATTTATACTAAAGTAAAGACTATAATTGAGAGTATATAGGCTTGAAGTTCTTTAAAATCAATTATAGGTGTGACAGCATTTCATACCTTCTAAAAAAACATTATAAACAGGTTCAAGCCTGTACTAAAAAAACTATTTACATGACAACACTATAAAAATCAATAGTTTTCCATATATACTTCACATCAGGTGAAAGATTCTCCAAAATAATTTTTAGAAACACTGCACCCAGAGGACCAGCAGTTAATGTAATGGCTATGTTACTGGACTCCCATGTAGTAGACCATGGTTCATGTCCCAGACCCGGTGGCTTAAAACTCACACCGGGCACGTGTGCGTGCGTGCCCAAGATCCCGAGAGGAGAATGGAGGAAAAGGGATTGTGGTGTGGCCAACCCCACTGGGGGGTGATTTCTCGCTTTCTGACTCTCTCTCTGTCTGTCTGGTGAGCGCACACACCCTATAGCAAAAACTTCTCCAAAAAAAAAAAAAAAAGAAAGAAAGAAAAGAAAAGAAATAAAGAAAAAAGAAAAGAAACGCTGGGAAAGAAAAAAAGAAAAGAAACCCAGGGAAACCAGCAGGTGGCATGGTGGTTAAGATGCTGGACACTCCCACATGGCCAACCATGGTTTGAGTCCTGGACCTGGTGGCTTGCTTTCTCACTTTCCCTCTTTCTCTCTCTCTCTCTCTCTCTCTCTCTCTCTCTCTCTCGGGTAAAACTAAAAAAACAAACAAACAAAACAAAGAAAAACACACTGCACCCAGATATTACAAGCAGTTTCAAAGACACCTGGCCATACTGGTGGCTCCAGTCTCCTCCTACCCTTTCTTCTATAGACACGATGCAGTTGGCTTCCCTTCCAAAGAAAGAAAAACACTCAGTGGTGGCACTCAGTATAGAAAAACATGTTATAGAAAAAAAGCTCTCAACAGAGGAAGGCCAGAGTGAGATCAAAATGAGAGCCTGGGTACCAGCAGTTAGCGTAACGGCTATGTCACTGGACTCCCATGTAGTCGACTGCGGTTCGAGTCCCGGACCCGGTGGCTTAAACTCATGCTAGGCGCATGTGC